AATAATCAAATATGAATTTTTATTAGTTGTTTTTTTTTACCATCATCTGTATTAAATTTTTCTAAATCTTTTTTTTTCTGCCAATATTCTAATGAAGGATCAGCTTTTAAAATAAAATATTGTAATTGTTTTTTTCTTAAATAAACACCATATGGACCTTCAATATAAATTGGTTTATCAATAGATAAATTTGATGATAATTTTATTTGTTTTGATGTATATGTATATATTAACCATGAATGTTCTTCAGATGGATGTTCAATATTAGATATATTATCTGTTGCTGAATGTATATCAATTAATTTTGTTTCCATATCAACAGTTGATGTCATACGTTGTAATGCTAATTTAGCTAATATACGTTCATCATTAGGTAATTCCCATGGTATAGGATATGGATTTTTATTAATAAATTTTGGTGCCCAATAAAGAAAACGTGCAAAACGTCGAACTGGATGTGCCCATGGACCAAATATTTCTCTTAACATATGTACAACTTCAAGATCAGGTGGAATACCTTGAGATTCCATAGCTGATATAATAGCTGAAGCTGTTTCATTTTGTTTTGGCCAAAAACGAACAGATACTTGTAACATTGATTGATGACGATATGGACCAACAGGAAAAACTGATAGAAGTTTTTTATATGATTCTGAATCACGTTCAACACCAAAATCTTTCATACGTCGAAGAGCCGCACGAATAAATTCAACATGACCACGACGATTTGGAAATTGAATCTTATATGCTTCAATAACATCCTAATAGAGAAAAACGAAAATTTGTTTTTTTTTTTTGTCAGAGAAAAGAATGAAAAATTAAAAGTATATACAAGAAAAGCTTGTTTATTTTTTTTCTTAATATGTTCAGAATCAAATTGTCCTGTATGAAATGCTATTTGTTTTGATGATACATATGGTCCAATCATTGATGCAATATTTGCTTCATCTTCTTGTGTTTCATTTTCATTTTTATTGTTATCTTTAGATTGATCTTGTTCCCAATCTTCATCTGAACGTGGAGCAGTTGATGAAGCATATATATGAGCTTGATATATTGGTATTCGACGAAGAAATAATGAAAATAATGGTTGTAATCGAAACAACATTTTTACATTTTAAAAAGAACTTCTATATTACCTATAGATTTTATGTTCTGTTAATTGGTCTATCGATTAACAAACATTATTTAAGATTATTTTATCAATAGAGATCGCCAGTAAACGGAAAAGAAGCAGTTTAGTTTTGTTGGGTCAATACAAGTTGAATTGAATGTTTGACTATAAGTCAATTCTCTTTTTTTATTTAGTTTGATATTAATGATTGACCAAGAGCTCTGATATGACATAAAATAAAAGGTATTAACACAATTCTAGTAAAATATTTTTACTTAATCTTCTAGAAATTTAATAAGAAACTAGTTGATATTCAATAATGAGCCTCTATTGATATATGGTCTGTAATAAGTAGAGTCTTGTAGAGTAAAATTTTTCACTCCTGTAGTTTCGACTTCGAAAATTCTTTTTGACTAACATATATACATTTCTCTGATGTTTTTTTTTGTTTTGAAACTTATAAATCATTAAATGTAATATATTTTTGCTCATTATTTAGCATATGACGAATGAAATTGTCATTATAGAAGAGTAAAATATTTGTTTTTTTTTAACTTATGTAACTCGAACGTTGACTCCAAAAAAAAATTATTCACGATTATCTCGACTCCGTCAGAGTGTGATGCAGGACTTCAGCGATAACCCGCTCCTCCCATATCTGTTACATCAGTGGAGGAGTAGAAAGACTTCAACATTCGTCTTTTAGATCGTATTTTTACAAAATAAGACAATCAGGACAATCTTGATAACGATCCTTAATTTCTTTCTTCTTTTCGTTTTACAAGACTAATTCTATTTTAGTGCGGAGGTTGAAACTTTTTTCACGTTTATCTATATATTGTGATGAAGAAAACTGAAAAACTAAGACCGTAATAAACTTCACTATCTATGTCGTCATGATAGTTAGTGTTATCTTTTAATTTATTTACACAAAATGGTATGTAAAGTAAAGTAGACCAATTGTGAAATCCTATTCTTCAAAACGTAAAATTATCAACATTCGAGTGACTATCTTTTTTTCTTTCGTCATATTATTACTTACTTCATTCAATTGAAGTAAGTACATGGCTCGAATAATCAAGTCTAAAAAAAAACAAACAATAAATAATAACTAAATACTTATTATTGAACATACTATCAGTACCAATATTTTGATTTATAAACAATTCACTAGACCGATTCTTAAATAAATTACAAAAACAAAATGTCGAGCAATCCCATCCTCATTCACAGAACTAAATAATCCAAGACTAGAACTGAGCTAAGTACTCGTACTTGAGTATAATTTTGATCGTATCGTATTCGAGGCTTAGGTACACGTAATCCTAGATAAGTACGTGTTATATCAAAATGACATTTGATAAAGTTGTAGTTTCTATTTTTCCAGGATGAAATGAATAGCTAATCATTTCTTTTTAGTTTACACATATATGTATTCAGATAAATATAGATGTCTTTAAGCTCTTGCACAAGTAATATAATATGTAATCGGTAATTGATTCATCTATACATCAAGATAAAACTCTATTCTTCTCTATATGAATTTAGTCTTAGATACTTGTCAATGCATAATACTAGATCAACTACTATTGGAAGAATATTTTCTCAAGACGGATTTGTAATGCGTCGAAAAAAATACATTATTAACCTTAAAAAATGTATGTTTGTTTATTTTTCTTAAATACTATTAGGTTTTAGTGTACTTAGATCGCGTAAAACATTATAATGAAAAAAATTATAATAACAAAACTTTCAATGATGACTCTAATAATGTCTCGATCTCCAAATTGATGTATCATTTTTAAATCTAATAATTAAATGTTCTCTAATAAGGTCTTAGGAAACTCACTCTTATGTACTCATACTTACCCAGCTTTACTAATAGTCTCAAACGATTTATTACTTGAACTTAGTTCAGTTCTATGTACAGTTAATATATAAAAAGTTTACTTGTAGGAAAACATCTAACAGTGTTTATTACCATAAACAATGAAAAATAATTTTTATTTTTGGATTGTTGTCATCTATGAAACTTACCTATGGATAAAATCATGAACGAGGTATATGTGATGTGGTATACATGTACTTGATCATTCATTAATTAATATCCCTCTCCGTGTCATCGACATTATGTAAGAACCGACGATTTTATCGTAATTTATTAGCCCGATTAATCATAATATTGTATCACAATTATTCAAATAGTATTTTCGATGATATGATCTGATCGTTGTATATGAGGAGAGAAAGAGTATTTCCTCCTTTCAATCTGCAATAATTGGTATAAAACGAAAGTTGTTTTTTTAATAGAATAATACTCATTTACTCTTTAAAAAAATAAGTTGATATTAATAAAAAAAAAAATTTCTCAAATAATACTTCTTGTTAAAGTTGGTTGAAAAACTATCGATTAGTCACGATTTATTGTAATATTCGAAAAACCATCAATTAATGACCTCAACAAAATCTACTCATCGATGCTGAAATTAGCTCAAAAAAGTTCATTGAGGCTTGATATTAACAAAAAAGAAAAAACCTTAAGAAAAAAGTTCAATTATTTACTTAAACACTATGAGAATAGAACAATCGTTTCTGCTGTGATCTAAACGATGACTGTAATAGATGACATGAAGTACTAAATTTCTTCGTTTAAGATTCCATTGTAACAAAAGACATTTCTCACCGTTTTGAATCATTTACTAGTTGTTCTATTCGACCTTGATAGTTGAAATTAGTTAGACTAGGTCCTTGAAGAATTCTTAATTTTATAAATATTCACATTAAGTAATAATATAAAATTCAATTTCGATCCATGCACTCCTGATTATCTGGGATAATAAATAAACTTTTATTGAGTCTTATCTCACTTAAAAAGATTTCATCGCCCTTGATAATCATAGCTAAATAGAGATTTAATGCTTGTGCGTATTACTATGAAAAAATAATTTATCAAGTAATTTAGTTGTTTCAGTTTTTTATTTATACTATATATATATATATATATATATATATATATATATATATATGTTATATCATTGATTTTAAATTGATTAACTGAAGAAATATTTCATTGAAATATGAAATGTCACTATTTATTTTTATTGATGAATTATTTGTATTAAATACATAAAACAAGAGAGAATTTATTTATATCAAATCTTATCTTTCATATTACATAAAATTTTTTCTTTTTTTTTTTCAGTTCAAAAAGATCGGAAAGACGATATATTTTATTCTATTATACTAATAAACATTTCGATGAATAAATATTCTTAAGTTTAACAAAACACAAACAATTCTTTGTTTATTCAATTAAATATTATTACGTTTTTTTTCTCCAAGAAAAAAATATTTACACAATAAATATTATTTTTTAAAAGATCTGCTCAATAACTATCTAATGTTTTATCATGTCATGGTGATATATTTAGAAAAATCATCACCAATCCTTTGATTACTGAGCGTTACTTTACTTTCTCTTCACCTGTGATAGACTGTCCTCACATGTAAGAGACGAAAAAAAAGAGAACGAAAGCAATACTACAGTAGACGACTCGGCAAGTCACTATCAATCAGTAGGACTCTGTGTGACCTGAAAATTATTCAAATATTTGTAAAAAACAGTTCGAATCGACTTTCATTGTGACGAGAGATAACAAAGGTCAAATATTCTCTTGCATACAAGACAATTATAAGAAAATAGTGACAGCAATTACTTGATCGCTTATTGAATGAATACTTTTTTCTTTCTGAGCTATATTATAAAATAATTAATTTATTCTGAAAAATTTGATTGACATTTCATCAAGTCAGTCAATAATAACTTATCAGTATTATCTATGTCATAAAATTATATTTTACACAACAACAAAAAAATTGCTTATGTTCATATACTAAATAATAATTGCCATTGTGGTGATGAAGGACTTTGTTCTTGTTGTTGGTCCATCGAATAATAATGAATTGGTGATAATGTTTGTGGTTTAGTTTCTTCAACTTCTACTAATCTATTTGGTGTTGTTCGAGCAATGAATTCATATAGTGAATTTGTTTGTTGAAATTTGTTTTCAAGATCTTGTTTATGTTTATGAAGAGTTTCTATTTGTATTAATAAATCATTTTGTTTAGCTTCTAATTCTTGAATTTGAATTTTTAATTCATTTTCAACATTATCTCGAATTTTTTTTAAATTTCTTGCTGATTCACGATTTTTTTGACGTCGTATTTCACGTTTTATAGCTTCTTCACCTTCCATTTTCATATCTTTTGAACGACGTCCAGTAGCTAATGTTGGAGCCGCTGTATGACGTTTTCTTACATGTATAGGACCATAACTTATAGTTGAAGTACGTGGTAATCTACAAGATCTTTGTGTGTTTGATGATTCAATACTTTGAATATCAACTATAACTGGCATTGTTTCTTTTCGATATTCATAATTTGATGTTGATAAATTTTCATTGTGAATACAATTTGCATCATTAATTGTCGATTGCGAAGCAGATAAAAATGATGAACCTACAGTACCCATTAACATATGCCGATAAATTATCAATACACAGATAAAAAGAGCAAATAACAATGATTTCACTGATAGTTTAGTAGCTAGTATATATTGTAATCGTAAAAAGAAAAAGAAAAAGAGGCAAAAGAATATACTTTCTGCAAACAAATTCATTCAACTGTGACTTATTCATAGCTGTACGTTACACATATTTATAATAAAAAAAATGAAAACATAAGGTAAATATAAGTGACATTCTTGTTTTTTTTAAACCTCTTGATTGACATCGACAAATTTGATATTTTTTCATTTTCCGGTTATTTGAAATATATTGTAATCAATGATGCTTTCAAAAAAAAAAATGTTGTCTTTCATAAAGTTAAACATCATTGGATTAGAATGAATATTTATTTCCGTTCGATCAACAAAAAAAAATACAAACCATTATTTTGAAATTAACACAGATATTGTTATTCAGCTGTCTCATTACTTAAGTCACATTGACTTACGATTACTCATTAACATAACAAAAAAGAATAAAAATATTATTATCTAAAGTTACTTTTGATATGTCATATTTACATGTAATTGATCGTTCTTACGCATAAATTGTGTGTAAACGACAACAGTAAGATACCAATAGCAATATTTTTCTTTGTCTTTTTTCTATTGTAGTAGTAAACTCGCTGTTTTTAAACATTATTCAATATAAAATAAAGAATAAAAGTATGCTGCTTACGCTACAGAGTAGTTCACGTTTTTCTAATAGAAAAAAAAATATATATCATGGATTTATACATAAATATATGTGTTAAACCTTGATTATAAAAAATAATATACATTTTTTTTTTCGAATATTTTTAATGTTAGAAATGCAAGGTTAATATTCAAATTTACTTTTAAATGAGTCGTTCATTTGATTAAGATACATATTTTGTTAATAATATTGATATATATGAAGGTTCTTTTTTTTTGCATGCTATCGATATACAATCAAATCATTAATATTGATACATATATTCATCGTCATTTATTAATTGTCTAATATTATTTGTGATAACAGCATGTTGATATCATACATTCAATTGATCAAAATAGCGAATCTTCAGAAGTTTCGAGTTTCTCATTCCATCGCTTAATATCTTTAATGAACAACTGCATGAATGCAAGATTTCGAATATGCGAAAATAAAGTCGAAGGTTTTTTTTTTCTTTCCTGTATATATGATCAAGTAGAGAGTGATGACCTGACCAAGAATATTGCGTGTTTAACTTTTTGAAATTATTTTTTTTTTTTTGCATGAACATTTTCAATTTTCTTTTTTTGTAGAACAAAAGACAAGTAAATTTTTAATAAGTGATAAATTTAAATCATGAAAAACTAAATCAATAAAACTTATTCATAAATAAATTTCCTACATTCGAATTTTTCACGTTATATTTGAAACAAATATTTTTGAAATTTAAAAAACATGAAAAAAAAATGAAAAATTTCCCTTCTCCCCCCCAAAAAAAACCCATTAAAGAAAAATGAAAATGTACGTTTTCTTAAGCAACTCGTCACGCCATATCTAATTATATCTAGAGAAGAGAAAAAAAAACAACTTATTTTTTAACTTGATACTTTCTTCATTTTAAATAACAATAAAGACACAATAGAAAGAGTATTTTTTTGAAATAATTTGTATATTTGATTGATTTCAATATTTTGTATAAAAAAAAAAATTTTTCTTGATTTGTTCAAATAGTCAAATCCTATTCTATTTCTATGACTTTTTATTATACTCAAATTTGTTTCTATAATTCAAACTTAAAGTTTTTATTTTTACATATAATGTAATTTTGAATTATATTTGTAAGAAAATTCATCAATATATAATTCAATTTGTATGTTACTATTTTCTATTAATAGATGTTGATTTAAATATGTTACAGTAAATATAAAGAACAAATATCGTAATTTTATGCATATATTTTACAATAATGTTGTCCAAGGTATGTTTATCATGTTTTGCTTGCAGAAAAGCAATATTAATTTAAGTGTAATTCATAGTCTGCCGAGTAAAGAACATCCAAGAATCATACTCTAATAAGATTATATTTCAAATAAATTTTAATAAAATCGATTATAGTTGTAAATTAAAGTTTTGAAAGATTTTTCTATATAATAATGTCTATTATTTGTAAAAGCAGGTATTAAAGTCTATTCATTATCATCATTCTTATCGAAATATAATTGTAATCACACAAAAGTAAAAATATTAATAATTTCAATCTATGATTTTTTTTTTCAAATCTGATTACGATAAGTTTTCAAAGTTTGAACAACAAATAAAAATAATCAAGGTATAGAATACATTTTAATCATTGTTCACGATCAATTTCATCTTTTATTTTATAAATAAAATTTCTTTATAATGTCAAAAGTTCGAAGAACGAAAAAAAAAACAAAAAAAATATATATGTTGAAACAGTAACATTTACAATAATTTGCAGGATATGAAAAATATGAGAACTAGAAAAAAAAAAAAGAAGAATGTTATACTTCTTCATTTCAACCGATTGAGAAAAAAAAACTATAAAAGATTTATTTGATTATATCAAATAGTAATCCATACGAATACATTAGCCTTTAACAAGCGAATTTCTTTTTGTTAATAGATATGATCATTAAACATAAAAAAACACGATTTGTTCTTGTCATTGGTAAGAAGTGAACTTCTTGATGTTTCACTCAAATTTGTATTCTGAGATGTTCACAATATAATAAAAAAAAAAAAAGGTAAAGGCAAAAAAAATAAAATTCTATTTCTAAAGATTAACGAATTGATATTTGTTGAATTTCAAATCTTCGGATCCGATCCAATGATTTCTATTTATGTGAGACGAATAAATTAAAAACAAAAAGTCTGAATGATATGAAAATAGATATATCTCATACAATAAAGATAAATTAAAGAATAAAGATAGATGTTAATCTATGATTGACAAATGCATAATCTAACATTAGTAGAAGGAATAAATTATCAATAAATAAATCAAACAATCAGTATAAAATTTAATATTCGATAATTATTACACTTATAAAGTTAAATAAATAATTTTTTTGCTCAATCAATTACTAACTTATTCAGTTTTTCAAATTCTAAAAATATATTTATTTATTAAATAAGTAGTACTTTAATCAATAGTTATTTAAATTTTTATGATGAAAATATTTAAATACCGATAAATGAATGTTTCTTCATATTGACTGATAATGATTTCATCAGATCAACGTATTATTTTAAAATAAAATATGCATATATATATTTTTTTTTCTTTCTTCTTTTATCTCCTTCTCTTCGTTTCAAGGTATTTTTTTCTTTGTGTCAAGTTAATTCATTGTTTTTTTCCTAGTTTGTTAAGAATATATATGCACCTGTCATCGAAAAAAAAGTAAAAGACATATTTTAGTATTGATATGTTAAATCAATCACGTGTGAACAATATTATCTCTAATTTAGTTTGAAAATGGTTACGATGATCGAAATCATTGAACTACTAATTTATGTTTCTGATAACGAAATTGTTAACAATGGAAAACAAAAAAGAAACAGTTGAAAAAAGACACAACAACATGGATTAAAAGGAATGATGTTTAACTGTGCTAAATAGATTGAAAAGATAGTTACAAAAAAGATAATAAATGATATACTTTTGATTAATTTCAAAAAATACAATGTTTGTTATGTTATATCACCAATAGATAGATTAGAATCGTCATATATTGTACGTACTTATTCCAGCATTTTTCAAAAGATTTGCATATAAACATATCATCTCTATGAATAATTATATTAAACTGTTGCTAACAACGTTAAAGTTGATAGAAGAAAAAAAAAAAAGCGTCGTGATAGACTATCAATATTTGCGAAAACATTGGTGATGCAATAAAAATTTTCTTATTATAATTCTATACCGCATGTTTCTTCTCAGTAATATCACGAGCATATTGCAGAACTCGAAAGAAACGATGGTATATAGATAACTTATTGATGATAATTCCCACGCCTTCCAGTTCCAACCGTAAACAATTACACAGAGCATTCTCTACCCATATTTCAATTTCTTATTAGAAAGAAATCAGCTTTAGTCAGAAAAAAAACAGTTTTATAGTATATTTTTCTTATAAAACTTTTTTGCAGTCTCATCAATAATATGAAACTTATATGCTTCAAGATTGAAACCAATTGTGGACTTTATAACTTGTACAGACACTTCAAACACATAAGTATTATCATGATATGACGAAAACAATTTAATTCTGCTAGTTTTAACAGACTTTTAAATTATTCTGCGATTTGAATATAACGCATTATGATATATCACTTTAAAGAAAACAAAACTCTAATTACTGAAATTTTATCATTAATAACATTCCAACATATGATACTATTTGCAAATACACAAATAAAATTTATATGTTAAAGATTTTCTGTATACTTTTTTCTATCTATCATACTCTGATATTTTATGAACTAGTTGGAAGAAAAAGAAAAAAAAGATTAGCCTTTCATCATGTCAATAATTGCCCGAAGAAAATAATATTAAATTTAACCAAGCAATATTGTATCCGTATGATTTATCACTTTTTAATAAAGGTCATAATCATCATAAAGTATTTATTATGCACATTCGATTTGAAAACAAAAAGTTTTGAAAGACATCACAAATGGATTAAATAATTTATTTTTTATTATAAAAGAATGATAAAAATATTATTACACTTCTAGATATAAAAAAAATGCACCCAAAATAAAGAAAAAAACAAGAGGAAAATATTACTTGTAAATAAAATAACAACGAACAAAAAAAAAGAATATACGTTATTAATAATAATGTTCGCATAAAACAGACTAAACAATAATAAAATAAGAAGAAAATTTGCAATATTTTTTCTTAGTGAAATTTAGTGCTTTTTCTGTTTAGTTTTTTTTT